GCCCCATTGCTGGCCCTACAGCTGACCCCACAGCCCCGTATCCCTCAGGCAATGCGCTGCTGCGGCGCCTGGTTCGCATCGGGGTGCTGGACAAGGGGAAGATGAGTGGGGGCACCACTGCTCACCCCATAGATACCCTATAGCTGCCCCATTCCTCACCCCATAGCTGCCCCATCCCTCATCCTCCAGCTGCCCCATTTCTCACCCTATAGCTGCCCCATTTCTCACCCTATAGCTGCTCCCTTCCTTGCCCATCCCTCACCCCCCAGCTGCCCCATTTCTTACTCATATCCAACCCCATATCCGCCCCCCTTCCTCGCCAATTCCTCACCCCATAGCTGCCCCATTCTTCACCCCTTTCTTCCCCCTATAGCTGCCCCCTTCCTCACCCTATAGCTGCCCCATTTCTCACCCTATAGCTGCCCCCTTCCTCGTCCCTTCCTCACCCCACAGCTGCCCCATTTCTTACTCATATCCAACCCCATATCCGCCCCCCTTCCTCGCCACTTCCTCACCCCACAGCTGCCCAATTTCTTACTCACATCCAACCCCATATCTGCCCCCCTTCCTCGCCCCTTCCTCCCCCCATAGCTGCCCCATCCCTCGCCCCCCCGCTGCCCCATTGCTGGCCCTACAGCTGACCCCACACCCCCCCCGTGTCCCTCAGGCAACGCGCTGCTGCGGCGCCTGGTTCGCATCGGGGTGCTGGACGAGGGGAAGATGAAGCTGGATTACATCCTGGGGCTGAAGATCGAGGACTTCCTGGAGCGCCGCCTGCAGACGCAGGTCTTCAAGCTGGGCCTGGCCAAATCCATCCACCACGCCAGGGTCCTCATCCGGCAGCGCCACATCCGGTGAGGGACCACCCCCCAGAATGGGGACCCCCCAAATGGGGGACCACCCCCCAGAATGGGGACCCCCCCAGAATGGGGACCCCCCAAATGGGGGACCACCCCCCAGAATGGGGACCCTCTCCACCCAGAATGGGCATCTCCCCAAAATGGGGACCCCATGCAGAACAGGGGACCCCCCCAAAATGGGGACCCCCCCAGAATGGGGATCTCCCCCAGAATGGAGACCCCATCCAGAACAGGGGACCCCCCCAGAATGGGGACCTCCATTTAGAACAGGGACCCCCCCCCCAAAATGGGGACCCCCACCCAGAATGGGGATCTCCCCCAAAATGGGGACCCCATCCAGAACAGGGGACCCCCCCAGAATGGGGACCTCCATTTAGAACAGGGACCCCCCCCCAAAATGGGGACCCCCACCCAGAATGGGGATCTCCCCCAAAATGAGGAACCCATCCAGAATGGGGGACCCCCCCAAAAAATGGGGAGCTCCATTTAGAATGGGGGACCACCCCCCAAAATGGGGACCCACCCAGAATGGGGAACCCCGGCACAGAACAGGAGACCCCCCCCAAAATGGGAACCTCCATCTAGAATGGGGACCCCATCCAGAACAAGGAC